TTATAGGTTTTTTTTTTTAAATGATAGGTGGACAAATCCATTACCTGTTACTCTTCGATGGTCCCATTCATTAAATTTTTAAATTTATTTTTCAAGTTACTTGAACCAAAATCCGCCTCCCTAAAATTTCTAACCATTTTTGTTGGTTCAATCTTCTAGAATACCCCACAATGGCTCTTTATATACTGTTTTTAACATACTCCATTGGTGCAAAAAATCCAATTCCAATTCACTAACTCAAGGACTTTGATCCTGTAATCATCTCCTCTTTATCTTTGCCACGTTTCTCTCCTCTCTACTGGCTCATTCCCATCAGCATGTAAGTTTCCCTTGTCCCATGTCCTCCTCCAACTTCGCCACCAGTTTTCTGCCTCCCATCATAGCAATGTGTCTGAAAATATGAAACTAGTTGTCTTTTCTTGAATTCCCACACAGTTATTCACCTCCCTGTCTGTTCCTTAGTCCTTCTAATTAGGCATTCACTGCAACCACACCACTCTTCACGGTCACAAACAATGTCCGTCTCCCTAAACTCAATGGCCGATTCTTGGATTGCCTTTTTCTATTTCCAGTGGGATTGTATATACTTTATTACCTGTGTTTCTTGCTATATTTCCTAATTTGCTTCTATGACTTCACAGTCTGCTGGATTTTCTCTTACCTCACTGGCTTCTCCTTTTCCCTCTCTGTTTCCTTTGCTAATTCCCTCTCTTATTTTGGAACCTCAAATGCTGGAATGCCTTGGGTCTGGACCTTCTCGTTTCTCTCCCAGGTCACACTGCTACTCCTTGTTTCTTCTTCACTTCTGTTAAAGACGCTTCTTTTTACTTTACTAAGCAAAAGGTGTGCTTCCTCTCATCTGCAACACTTACTTTCAGTATCTGAAAATATATTGTCTTACTCAGGGAAAATATGTTTTACAAATACAAAGTTGGTTTCTTCATATAAATTCTAAGTATACTTCAGTTTCTTTTGTTGGCCATTACATAGAAAATGCACTACTTTTCAGCCAGAAAGGAAGGAAGGATGTCATGGGGACCAGATTCAAAGACTGAGGAAAGCCACAGGCATCTGTTGATCAAGAAACAATCTGCTCAGATCTGCTCAGATGTTTGGAAGATAATGGAAATCAACCTCTCCCAACACTTACTCTGAGAGCCCAATATTTGGAGACTTTAAAAGGCAAGTAATCAACATTAACATAAGTCTTTAAATTTCATACAGTTGCTTTTACAATGTGGGTGAAAACTGTGCTGAGAGATGAATGCATACTGCTCTTGGAGAATCATAAAACCACATGTCTGTGCCCAACACACATTAGAGAATACTAGCTGCTCATTTTGCACATGTGGAGTGGAGCCTTCATGGGAATTTGGTGACTAGAAGAGAGATGTGAAGTAGACTGGTGCCTACATTTTATTTTATTTATTTTTTTTTTTAAACGTTTTTTTTTTTTTATTTATTTTTGGGACAGAGAGAGACAGAGCATGAACGGGAGGGGCAGAGAGAGAGGGAGACACAGAATCGGAAACAGGCTCCAGGCTCTGAGCCATCAGCCCAGAGCCCATCAGCGGGGCTGAACTCACGGACCCATGAGATGGGTGACCTGGCTGAAGTCGGACGCTTAACCGACTGCGCCACCCAGGCGCCCCTGGTGCCTACATTTTAGAGGCATCGAGTCCCCTGCCAATATTTTCTACAAGCTGGACTACCCTATTTTAATTTCTTAAAAAAAATTTTTAATGTTTATTTATTTTTGAAAGAGACACAGAGCATGAACAGGGGAGGAGCAGAGAGAGAGGGAGACACAGAATCCGAAGCAGGCTCCAGGCTCTAAGCTATCAGCACAGAGCCTGACACAGGGCTCTAACCCATGAACTGCAAGATCATAACCTGAGCTGAAGTCGGACACTTAACCAACTGAGCCGCCCAGGCACCCCTGGACTATCCTATTTTAATTTCTAAATAAATACCACCCCACTTCGTTTAATTTGATGAATGTTATCATAGCTTTCTAAATTAATGAGAGGTCTGATGCTAAACAGAAGAGAGGAGCAAAACATATTTCTAAACTGAAACTAATTTTGCATTTCTAGAACTAAACTAAAAAAATACAGGAAGCTACTCTTTGCTATGTGTCAACTACACTTCAGTAAAACAAATAATAAAAAATAACAAAAAAAAGAAAAGTTACCCTTTTATGATTCTTTGGAAAAGGTGTGATTTGACAAATGATATTCGACAAACATTATTTTTAAGGCCATCAATCTAAATAATACTCTTATACAAAGTGCCATTTAGAGTGAATGCAATACAGCAGGAGCTTATGGACTTTGGGGGCTAATTCAGGGAAAGCCTCACTCATCAATTAAATGCCACTCTCACTTCTTCCTGCATGCATTTCTTAGCTGTTAATTATTTGGAACTTCATATCTTAGGTAAATAAAGACTTGGTCTGGTGTTAGAGGAGTCTGTAGTTGGCTTCTACAGTTGTGAGTTTTATTTGAATGGGACGAGAGCAGATTCTGCAAAGTCTAATATTTTCACGTATTGCAAGTGAATGCACTCCGTGAGCATCGTTGAATTTGACTGTGCTGATGCCACACATCCCACTAGCCTCTCCTTACCTCTCACGATCAGCTGGCTTTGGTGTTCCACAGCTGCTGCCTCATTCCGGGCTATGCAGGTATAGTTCCCGTTGTGCATGAGGGAGAGATTGGAAATCCGCAAGGAGCTTGTGAAGTCAATGTTGTCGATGGTCACCCCGAGGCTCGCTGGGATTGGCCGGCCGTCCTTCTGCCAAGTGATCGTGATGGGTAAGTCCCCTGAGACCACAACACATGGGATGAAGACCCGCTGTCCAATGGAGAATCTTGGAAACTCAAAAGGTTGGATGAAAGGTGGAACTGAAAGAAAAGAAAACGTAACAGGAAAGATGCTAATGAATTGCACGCACGCTCTACGTTCTCTTTTCCTTTTACCCTTTTGCATGACATTGAAAGAGTAACAGAGTCACTTCCATAACATGTAAATACATGCACTGGGAGAAGAGGTGAAGTTGTGCCATCCTGTTACTTGACTTTTCTCATTGTTCTAAATGAAAAGCATGGCTTAATTTGTACTTTGGCAAACAAGCTTAATTTATTTCGACAAACTTTAAAAAATACCATAATCATTTTTGAATAAAAATATTTCAGACTCTGTACTATTCATTGTGAAAGAGGCATTTGAGTCTGTGTTTTCCTTAGAAGCTTTTGAAAATGATGTGTACAAGAAAAGATTTCTCTCCCGTTTCACTAATACTACCGCAACAATTACTGTTCCCTCTTTAATGCATCCCATGCCTTGCTAATGGGTATACTTTAAGCCTGTTCAAGAAGAGATTCCACTTTCATTGTTAAACATGCTTTTTTAGGACTAATGCCCAACTAACAGCAAGTGTTAATGAAAAAGACTTATTTTATGTTAGGATAGCCATGTCTTCATTCTATACCCTCAATTTTACACATGCCATGTGCATGACTTTAAATTACGGACTGTCCCATGGCCAATGTCCTGAGTTGCTGAGATGTGTTGCTAGTGAGGACAAGGTTATAGCCTTCAACCTGGCCAGCCATGGACACAGCCAAGCTCAGTCTGGAAAGCTCTTTTCTGATTTAATCTCCCTGATAAGCTTCTGTTTACCTTCTTGCCTCAGGACCACTCCTGGATGGTCTCACAGGCTGTCAGAGTCATAAAATGCTTAAAACTGAGCCAGAGAAGCCAACTTTGAATCCTACCATGGTTACTTCTTGGTTATGGGATCAAGGGCAAGTTATCAATATGCTCTTCCCATCGGCCTTATGGGGTTGTTATTCAGAGTCTCAAGTCGTAAAGAGGGAAACTTATTCAAAGATACTACTTTGCCCTTGGCCATAGGACTAGTTCACTAAGGAGTGAGGGCTCAGATTTTACCAATTTTATTTCAAAAGTTTGGAAATATACAAGGTTGTAAACTGAGATTACTATGCATGCAATAAATCAGTTATTATACCAGATGGTTTTATATGAAATTATTAAATAGTAGGCTATCTACAGTTTGTTCACTAAATCAATTATAGATACATTTCAATGATCAGGCTTGGGGAGATATAAGAGATCAAGCTGAGAAACATCTGAATGGACACCATCCATCCATTCATTCATCACTCGTTCACACAAGAAGTGCCTACTGAGTTCCTGATATACGTGTGACAACACCGTGTGTGCTGGCCACACAGTAATGACCATAACACCTCGGTCTCTGTTCAGTGGAGCTTTCAAGCATAGTCATAGGCAGCAGATGTCAACAGAGCATAGCCGTGGCTATTCTGCTATTCCATATTATTATTACTCCTACAATATGCTTTCAAAAGCATTTGGAAGAGAGAACTCAGAACTGCAAATACAGCCACAGTTAGACCGGTGAGTGAATAAATGGTTCCAGTTAGGTCTCACCAGAGAAACAAACAAACAAACAAACAAACAAAAATAGCTTAAGGTACCAGGCGCATTCAATGTCAAAACTGGTGACAGCTGACAGTTTGCTGATTCTCAAGGTAAAGTTACAGCTGTGAATCTGCAACGAGTCAATCTGACACCAGGAGAAAAAGATCTCGGGATGAGGTTCTGGCTGGGGCTGGTAGAAACGATCAGGCTGGATTAGGCTGTGATTACTCATAGTTGACATTGGGTGGGGAAGTACCAACTTGTAGCAGACGTGCTCATGTTTCTCTAAATATTAACCCAAACGGCATAAATGTTTATTATACGTGTACTTATTATTGACACTTAATAAACTACCATTTTTTTTTAAATAAAAAAGCAACTACATTTCCTCTTATTTAGTTCCTTACACATAGGAACCTGAGTGTCAGTCCACTGAGACAAACGTAGGCACTCAGGAGCTTGGTGCTCATTATCTGAATTGTAGATCTTTTCTTTCTTTCTTTTTTTTTTTTGAGATAAGAACTTCGAAGCCAGACTACCTGGGTTTAAGTCCAGCCGTGCTACTAAATAAAGTTTTTAACCCCTTCTCTGTGCCTTCACTTCCTTATTTGTAGAAGGAGGGGGTTGCCGTCAGGTGTGAATGAGTTAGCACAGAGTTTATGAACTTCCAATTTTAGTATATGTACTGTCGACGCGAGCACTGGGGTCTACAAACATCCGAGGACACCTGAATCCATTGCTTAGCATTGGTTCTATTTTGTAAGCCTTTCAGATGAGGAAACAGCAAAACAGTTAAGTTGAAAGGTCACTTGGCAAAGGAAAGGACTCCATTTCTACCAGTTATAGTAGGGAGAAGAAAAATAGGACTGACTTTCTATTCTCCAGATCAAGAAAGGTTAGACAGCATATTTTTGATTTGCCTATTAAGAACACAATATGTAGGATGTAGACTGTCAGTGATTATTCATTATGAGGATTTCTACTTCTAAATTTTTTTTAATGTTTATTTATTTTTGACAGAGAGAGAGAGAGACAGAGCATGAGTGGGGGAGGGGCAGAGAGAGAGGGAGACACAGAATCCAAAGCAGGTTCCAGGCTCTGAGCTGTCAGCACAGAGCCCGATGCAGGGCTCGAACTCACAAGCTGTGAGATCATGACCTGAGCCAAAGTCGGACGCTCAACTGACTGAGTCACCCAGGTGTCCCAAGGATGTCTACTTCTAAGAGCAAAAGAAAGTTCTAGAATAGAGACAGAGCAGGTACATGTTACTTTCAAGAACAGAGGCAAGAAGTAGCTACAGAGGAATCAGAATTTAAGAAGAATGCAAAAACAGATTCTATCATTTAAAAGTTTCTGGAATTCATTGGTTTATAGAACTCTAAGGGATGTAATTATAGTTCTGGGAGTAAGTTTCAGAAATTTGAACCACAGAGAGACACTGCTGAAGACCTGTGCCTCCCATGCAGTGAAAGCAAGCACCCGGAAGCCCACATGCTCACCCTCACCTGCAGTGCTCAAAGGATAATCTCTTGCTTTCAACACTGGTTTTTTTGTTTTTTTTTTTTTTAATGTTTATTTATTTTTGAGAGAGAGTCACACGCAGAGTGCGGATGGGGGGAGGGGCAGAGAGAGAGGGAGACACAGAATCCGAAGCAGGCTCCAGGCTCTGAGCTGTCAGCACAGAGCCCAATGAGTGGCTCCATCCCACAAACCGTGAGATCACGACCTGAGCCGAAGCTGGACTCATGACCGATTGAGCCACCCCGGTGTCCCTCAACACTGCATTTTGAACTATCATAACACTCTTAGCAATCTCATTCTTAGCCCAAACCTGGTGCTGAGAATACAGACACACTGATGCGGGCTCAGTGAGAAGGCAGAGTTGGCAAGCAAGGGGGTGAGGGACCGGGCATAAACTTTATAAAATGTAGACACAAGAGCGCAAGATGCACAGCAGCTGGGGGACATTTTGAGCTGGGACAAACTGCCCTTCATCACCAGCATGGTCGCAATGAATACACAATCATAGTACATACCTAAAGTTGCATACTCCGAATCGTAAGTTATAGTTAATAGATTAACTATAGCCAGCCAAGAATGTTGCACCCAGCAAAACTGTTATTCAAAAACTGAGGAGAGACGGACTTTCCCAGATAGACAAAACAGAGGAAGGTTACCAGGGCTGTCCTGCAGGAGAACCTAAAGGAAATATCAACTTGAAATATCAAGTTGAAATAAAAGGACACCTGGGGCGCCTGGGTGGCTCAGTCAGCTAAGCGTCTGACTTCAGCTAACGATCTCAAGGTTTGTGGGTTCAAGCCCTGCGTCAGGCTCTGTGCTGACAGCTCGGAGCCTGGAGCCTGCTTCAGATTCTGTGTCTCCCTCTCTCTCTGCCCCTCCCCTGTGTGTACTGTCTCTCTCTGTCTCTCAGAAATAAATAAAAATGTTAAAAAAAAATTAAAAAGAGGACACTAGACTGCAACACATAGCCATATGGAAATATGCAGTTCTCTGGTAAAATTAAATCTATGGGCAAGTATAGAATGCTGTATTTTGCAATTTTGATGTGTAAGTCCACCTTTAATTCTTGTATAGAATTTATAACACAAAAGCATAAAATCTGTCAAACTCTGTTAATGGATATACAACATATAGAAACATAATTTAATATAAGTGACATAAAGTATTGAGTGGTATATCTGTAAAGGAAAAAAATAATAAAATAAAATATTTTAAAATATATTTAGGAAAAAAAAACCACCCAAAAGAGTTAAAGATTTTCATGATAAAAAATAGGATTTTGTTAGAGGGAAAAGTCATTTTCCCAGAAAAACGTCAAAATCAGGTTTGTTATTTGTTTTACTTGCCACATCAGGATGTACTTTTTAAAATGCAGACTAAACCATCAGACTGATTTGCGGATCATGACACTTTTCACCTCACTACATAGACTGCCTCTATTGCTTTAGCCATGAACACAAGTCTGCTGTATAAAATGCTGAAATTTTCTTAGAGGGCCCCAAATCTCTTGCTGTACATTTGTAAGTTATAAAATTAGAGGCAAAAAATAAACGAAGCGATTAAAAAGTGCTCGCAATGACTTTGGTGGAGCCAAACCACCTGTTTGAGACACATCACTTGCTATATCTGGTCCATTAGATCACCTCTCAAGCTAAATTCTCTGAATCTTATTTGACAGTGAAAGGTGGTAATATCACGGGAACAGAAATGCGGAATGTGACCTACAACACGTGTTGACCTAACGTGCCCTCACAAAGCATATAAATATCTGCTAAATGTCACTAATTACCAGGTTTGTTGACTTCATTCTCTGTACTGGTGGGGCTCCTCTCTCCCAAGCAGTTAGGAGCCATCAAGTGCAACCAAATGTTAATTTATAGACACTTACTCTTTCTAAAGTCAGGCTCATATATTTTTG